CTACTACTACTACTACTACTACTACTACTACTACTACTACTACTACTTTGCAGTCATATAAGGCTTTATGGTAAAATCTCCATTATCTAGTTTAATCTTCACAGCAACACTATGAGGTGGATAGCGCAAATGTTATTGTCCCCATTTTACAGATGGGGAAACTGAACTCTAGAAAGGTGAAGTAACTTGCTCAATATCTGTACAGCCAGGAAGTAGTAGAAGCAGTATCTAAACCTTGGTTTCCTGTTTCCAATTTCTGTGCTTCTTTCTACTATATCATAGAAGGGATTGGGTAGAGGAATGTGAAAGAATCCTGAAGACCTAAATCACCTCCTCTAGGCTCCAACTTAAGGGAATCATGAGAAGCCTGGGGTGGTAGAAAGGGAAGAGGGGTTGGACCCTGAGGAATGGAAAAGAAATGTTTGAAGTGATTGTATCTCTTAGCTCTGAATCTCAGGAAGGGGATTAGTCCTGCAGCAGGAAGGATGGAAGTTAGGTACAATGAGAACTTCTGCCATCTCTGAGGGCAGAAAATCAAGAATGGGACTAGGCTTAAGAGACAAATATTCACGTGCATCCCTTCTGTGTGTGGGCTTTAGGATGAATTGTGCCATATGGAGGCAGGCGCAAGAATGGGGTTGATCCCAGAAGTCAGGGACCTGTTCTGGACATGGGCAGGCTGTGTACTTCAGGGTGGTCAACAGAGGGCGCTATGAGCCCAGATAAATTCTGACTAGATGTATTTTCTCTAGGCTAGGGTCAGTTTCAAGCCCTTTAGCTGAAGAGTAGGAGGCTTTGGCCAGTGGAAGTGGAGGATGTGGGGGATGGGGGAGGGGGAGAGGGCTATGTGAGCTGACACTTCCTGTCCAGCATGAACTGACTAAAGGGCTGTGATTCAGCGAAGGCTAAACTGATTAGGTCATCCCAAGATCCGGAGTGAGAGTGATTGTGTATGAGTTTATGACTCCAAGTTGCATCTCACTTACATTAGATGTGCAGATAAATACAGATCTACAACATACACAAACAGCACACACAAGGAAAACACACACATAGTATATTTTATATATATAAAATATATATACTCATGTACCTATGTACATATTGTTATTTAGTTGTTTCAGTCCTGTCTGACTCTTCATGACTCCATTTGGGGTTTTTTTTGGCAAAGATACTGGAGTGATTTGCCATTTCTTTCTC